CCTAGAAGGAAAAAAAAAAAATACGTGGGGTGCGTTTGGTGTGGGATCTAATGGTGTTATCAGTTGGAGTGGGACAACGGAAGAGTGCGGAGGGTTTATCCTCGCTGTAGCGCATTACCAACCGGCTGATCTTGTTTGGCGCTAGATGAGGAGGACGATGATACTAGGATTCGTTTTACTGCCGTTTCGCCTTTCTCTCTCTCTCTCTCTCTCTCTCTCTCTCTCACTCTCTCTCTCTGTCTACGCTATTTGTTCTTCGCTCTGTCTCTCTCGTGCCCTCTGATCTCTCTCGATACGTCTCCCGACTCCGTCTTCCTCTCGCTCACTCGTGAGTTCCCCTCTCGCTCTTTTCTCACTCATCCCTTCCCGACTGTTGGGCAAGATCGATGACTGAGACCTCGCTTACCCGCGGCGAATTGATTGGGCACGCTCGCCCCGGGGACAACGCGTGGCCCGCGCCACGAGATTTCACATGCACGCGTACATCCCACATGCGCTACCGTTAAAGCGGCCGTGATTCCTGGACGAGCGCGGACGTGTGCCGTGTAGGTCGGGACTAGGAGAAGGACAATAGGGAGCTCCTCAAACGTCGGCTAGATTTTTAAATACGTCGTGAAAATAGCTCCGACGCACCTCACTATTGTTACACAGCTACTCCGAAGACTACTCGATAAACGTCCGCGTGTGACACACTTTGTATAGGGAAGTTTAACGAGGGGCCTATAAAACGTTAAAATTACCTGTTATACTGCAGCAGACGAGCAATTATACGAATGGGCCCAATATAGGTAAAAAAAAAAAAAAAAAAAAAAGAGAGAAACATCAACCAGACCCCTATAATGGGCCCAATATAGGAAAAAAAAAAAAAAAAAAAAAAAGAGAGAAACATCAACCAGACCCCTATAGTAGTAGGCGCGAAGAGCGGAGCTTAAGATTGTGGAAAGAGAGCATCATGAATGGCTGGCAATTTTGGGCCCACTGTATCAGGGAACGGTATAAACTAATTCGAGAGACGCGAAGGTAGGGCCCACTCGAGTATCGTGATACTACAGAAAAGCATGCCTGAGTGAGGCCCACCGCGAGTGTATTGGGTCCTGTGGCTGTAAGATGCAGACCGGAGCATATACATATATACATATATATAGATATCCAGTAGGATCAAACTGGGCCCCAAGGGTAGATACTCCGAGGAAGGAGTGGTAGTAGGTTTTCGCAAGGGGCCTCACGGTAATATCTCGTTTAGAAAGATTACAGGTTCCAAGAGGCTGCCAATGTATAAAACAAACATCGTTAACCGAGACCTATACTTAAGACCATCATCCTTCTTTCTTGGCCTCGCTGTAGCCTCTCGTTCGCATCCCTTAACCCCCCTCTTCCTTCTTCCCCTCCCCCCTCCCCCCCTCGACATCTTCCTTTTCTTCTTCTTCCACTTCCACTCACGCTGCATTATTCACTCCGTACCATGCACTCACGGTAACCCACGGGGCCCGCGCTAGTCACGAGGTAAGGCCCACTTCGTGCACCTATATATATATGTATACAAGCATCCCAATCTGGACCCGTTCAGGAGTGCGCATACTATGACGAAGAAAGTGAAAGAAAAAGTTTTACCCTCACTACACGTATCAATCTAACCCATGGCTACCCCACGTACTATATCTATACGTATATGTACATCGGTACCCCACCCCCACCCGACTACGCATACGATCACGCACGTGCGTATACGTACGTTTATGACGTATCTGCGCACACCGGGTACGGTATTGAGATGTACGCCATGGCAGGATGGCCAACCTCAACTCGACCGTAATTACCAACCTGACTATACCTACGTGGCTCCTCGGCATTAACCATTATAAGAATCGTCTTTTATCTACGCTCACAGTATATGGCTTCGGCTTTGATTTCGATAGGCCGGTACGATTTATTGATATCAAATTGATTTGGCAGCATCCCTTATCGCGCGGGCAAAGCGATTCAATTAAAATTCTCGAATTTCACTGTCGATGACGATTTCGTCACGGGGTATCTTTGATTAATGTTAATTTATCAAATTACATCTTACCGGTAGGTGACGGCATCGTATACATAACGCATATTCACGCTCGTAAGACTTTTTCGGTATATACCCTGTGTACGTTATTGCATATGACTGCTCACTGACTGGCGATATAATCATAAAAAATGGAGGATTGTATGCCTCGCTGATTCTCGGTGTATTTGATCGTTCTGGGTATTAAATCTGTATGTATACGTATACGGACATATACAACAGATACAGTTTTACCTGGGGATGTATAGAGTCGTGGAATCGTAGGGGTTGCTGTTGTTGTTATTATTATTGTTTACAGTGGCTCGATATTTAAATAAATCAAAATCATGCCGTATGGCAAAGGGGGGCGGTGAGTACGGTAGAAGGGGTGGTACCACGGGATAATTGTTCTCTGTCGCGCATAGAGGGGTTTGTAGGAGGTAGAGATTTTTTAAAAAAAAAAAAAAAGGTCACAAGAAAAAAATAAGGGTTGGGGGGTCAGAGTTAAAGAACTTTGAATTGCTTGCCCGGTATCAGAGCTAAACTCATCCAGATATCTTTATAGGGGTTGGTACGTGCTTCTTATCCTGGAATGGAATATTTTTCAACCCCTTACCTTTACCCGGTATCTATATCTATATGCACACAGCTGTATGTCTGTTTGGTACTATGCGAAAGTACACGCACTCGTACTACCTGCACTCCATTCTGTATTGTTACTTGGCTATACGTAAGGACGCGGAAGTACGTTAACGTGGAAAGAAGCGAAGAAAAGAAGCCCAACGAGAAGTGGAATTGCAGGAGAAATACTCTCGAAAGCTCAGCCAGCGGCATAAATTCGCAAAGAGTTCGATCGTCGGAAGGTTTCAATGAATTATAGAGTGTGCCTATACTGCTTACAACCTACAACCTACAACCCGCAGTCTACTACTTAAAGCCTACAGTCAATGCATCCACAGCGCTGGGTGGTACCTTTTGTATACCATAGCGGGCTATGTGGTAATACCTCCTACTTTCCACCATTCTGTCTTATACATACGTCAAATACTTTTGCACGTCCCATTCTTCTTACTGGGTAACGAACGTCCCTTATAGTCGGACTGTGGGACATCCAATGATCGCTGTCTTATTTTTTTTCATACGTTCAAGGTAAACAAGTCAGGGCAATATTTTTCATGAGATTTTACCTTTATGCGAAAACTGAATGTTCTATCGTGAAACGAGCTACCAGTTTTGTTTTTGACGCTCGGTATTTTCGTGTGGTATATCGGGGGAATGATGATTTTCTTTTCTCAGGGATTTTCATGCCATTCAATTTAAGGCTCGGGTGGTTTAAATGGGTATACGCGTGGTAGAACGTATGCGGTTATGGTTTTTGCAAATGTTTGTGCGTTTGACTTTTATGAGTAAAAAGTTTAGAAAATTATCTGATTTTTTTAGGCGAAAACATATTTGGGACTTACCGGCCACTTTTCGTGATTACCATCTCGGTGCCCAATTTGTGAAATTTTTCCCAAAGTTCCTTCCCTTCCAAAGTGACTTTTGGATCATCGACAACCCCATCCTCTTCGGGATGATGAGGTGGTACCAGAGGATGATGAGGCCCCGCCAGAGGATGATGAGGCGCCAGTGGATGCGGCGACGAGTGCAGCATGCCCGGGGGCAATGGGGGCCTTAAGGGCCTCATGCCTGGTGCACCGGGTCCGCCCTGGTGATGATGATGCAACGCCGCGGCCGCCGCCGCCAGGACAGCCGCGTGGGCCTCCTCCGGCGTGTGGGGCCCTAGGCCCAAACCTGAAAGTCAAAGAAAAATTCATTAGGCCCTACAAACCGCTAAGTGGAGCAAACACTTTGCCTTCTATTCGGATCAATTAACGTTGATTTAACGTGAGATTACGTAATTCGGGCCCAATTAACTTCTCCCTCTCACGCGTTACATCTATGTACACGGATAAACGTGATTCCACGAAAACGTCAGATTTTCGAACCAAAATCTAAGTACGAAATTACGCTCGCGCGTCCCCTGTGCGACCGATCGAAAAGTTTTATCGTCAATTCTCAAGAGCCACGATGATCTCCTACTGTTGTATACATGAATAAATGAAATGCCCGCAAAGTCCCTGGGGGCCAAGTTTTACCTTTCGTCTACAATGGACTTTGACTCAAGTTCCGAAGAATAAGTTCTCGCCATTTCTTTACCCTGCGGCCGTAGTCTCTTCTTCTCTTTATTCCTTCTCCCGTTCCTATTACCCATTGTTCCTTAAGTTTCACTTCCATCCTCCTCGCCCGTTTCCATGGAAGTTTTTCGATGGCCGCTCGAGAATATCGAGACCATTGCCGTCACGATAGAATTGACGAAGTCGATTCGCGGGTCAATCGAGCCGATGAATTCTACGATTTATGCACTACGCGATCTCCGCGTCTACACGCGTACATAGTAAACGCGTGACAGTTGCATCCACACATGTCGCGTACATTTAGCAATGTCGGAACGACAAATTATTTTCCTTAGCATGACACACATATGCGAACTACGTGTCAAGAATTCAAAGCCTCAACCGTATCGTTGAACAATACAAAGTTTTCCAGTAAGAAAATGTCACAATAGGTACACGTGGTAAAATAATTTATCAAAATTTTTTTTTCAAATTCTCAAATTTTCATTCTCGTCTCGCCAATCGACAGTCTGAACGATCATCGATTATAAATGTAACTATCAGAAGTTTGACATACGTGCACACGTGCTACCTCCAAATGTCAATCCAGGACCTCCACGCTTACGTTGTCCTACGGAAATGTTTCAGCACCAAGAAAAGTGCACAAGCACCAAAGTTTCTCAAGCTGAATAATTTCCCTGATATTTTCTTATACCTCGTGTATAAGAACGTGGCATATAAAAGTTTCGTCCTGTTCTTAAGGTTAGCTTTTAGATCGCAAATGTTTTCCACCCTGTCGCGTTGTAGTTGTATGAGAGAAAAAAAAAGTTTAAAAAGTAGAACAAGCACGATGCCCTGTTTAGAGAACTGCGCATTGCTAACTGTATATACATGGTATCCGTTATGCCACTGAATAATTTGCATTGTTCCGTATCATCGAGCATTACGTATACTTTAATGTTATTTATGTCTACAGAGGCAGTGACTTTCACGCGCGGATAGTCGATCGCCGCGAAGCCTAAGGTGCATTAGGAGTAACGTGTTTCGCGGCGCATCTTCGTAATTTCGGATCGAGGCGCTGTAACGTGCGTAACTGAAAGTGCCTTCGTGTCTTCTGTATTTTCGCCAGTGGCATGTGTCGAGAAGATACGTGGAAAAGGTACGTAAATTAGAATCGCAGGAATGCAACCGAGGGAAATCATGTACGCGTTTCGCTCGGGTCGATCTGTATTTTTCCTTCGACGGGGTAAAAATCGCGGAAAAAGCTAAAGCCAGAATTATCATAAGTCACGCGATAAAAGTGGAGAGTTTACGCGCGCGCGCGCGCACCGATACCCACATGCCGGGGCATTTCGTTTAAATTCACATTTCAAAATGGCCGCCGTGTCGTACGAGTCGTGGATACTTAATTTTGGACACACTGTATAATGCGTTTACGGCGATACACCTTCTTTTTTTTTTCCTCAAATTTTATTCCCTCGGTCTGACTTAATTGTGTTTTTTAATCTTCCTTGAAAATTCCATTTTGATTATTTTATTTATCGTGCAAAAATTCACGAGCTTGAAAACGCACCCGTCGCTTCAATGGACTGGCTGATACTGGGCGATTAATTTCGCGACCGCAAATACTGTCCAATCCACATGTAAACGGACCGGAGCTCGCGGTCGGCGCGTACACGTCGATCCAAAACTATTGATTGCCGTAAAACGTAGGAAAAATTTTATACGCTGTGAAGTTATTAAAAAAAAAGTCAAGGCTCGAAAAAAAAAATCTCATTTAATTTTTATTACCGATAACAAGGACTGACTGGACCGATGATCTGTTTCTTGAGTATATTTATAATTTTTCGATTTTTCATTTTTCTACATTTTCCAAAAAAAAAAAAATCGTAGCAACGCTCGGTGTGCAATGAGAAAATTTTGAAAGTGGTGGTTCTTTTTTTTTTCTACGTTAATTAAAAACCCAAGCGAATTCGTCGCTCGATGAAAACTTCGCCTTGTTCCCGTAGCTTTGGCTTAATTAAGGGACTGGGTAGAATTTTAGAAACACTGCACCAGCGGTTTTTTTACAGTTGTAGGAGAAGCATTTAAAGAAATAGCAGAACGGAGTAGACCAGTCAGGAAAGTGCAAGGGGAAGTAAAAGTGCCGAAAAGGTCGGAGCAAAGAACGACATTGATAAATGGAAGAAAAAAAAAATAAATTTTTTTCCACACTCAAAAAAAGGCCCAACGATTACAAATCCGCCGGTTTTGAGTTTGAATTACAAATTTTCGAACAATCCCATACACTCAAGGTGTCTGATAGTCGTGCAGTTGGCAATTGTCAAAGATTTGGCAGAAGCGAAAATCCGAAATAAATACGCAGGCTAGAAACAGACAAATATATATACATACATACATACATATATAAATATGTATATACAAAATGCAAGGGAGAAGGATGGTGCGTATCGTTTAATCGTTGGCAATTTATCGTCAGACTCGACCAAGTCGCGTTAGTTTATTATCAAAAATAATAAACAAGCCCCCGTTCGTCATTCGTTGAAAGGATAAATGCGTAGCAGCAAACTACACGCGAGCGATAAAGCCTGCATTTCAATCGACTCGTGTATACAAGCTGATTACAGCCAGGTGAAAAAAATATCCGATTGAATTAAACAGCCCACGTGTAAGTCCCAAACGGGGAAGAACGTCGGATTAACAGCCATAATAGACAGCCGGTTGCGCACGCGTGATTTTTGTAAAGACGAATAAAAGAAAAGGAGGAGGGAGGTAGGCAAAATTAAAAAAAAAGAAAATTCCTCCAATCTCCTCACAGACCGATCAGTCCTACGTCACGGACGTCGTCCCGTAAACCCTGAGCCACGCGTGGGTTAACACCCAATCCACGTCGGACGGATCCTTCAGTAGCTTTACGTCAGACATTTGTGATGTACCGCATTGTCGAAAATTTTTCCAAAAAATATGTCCATTCCCTTAATTTTCTATTTTTATAACGTTTTGAGAAAAATAAAAATTTTTTTCAAAATTTCATACAATTTTTTTTTTTACCAAGCAAGTTGGGCCCATGCACCTAAGCAAGGCCCATCATTTTTCTCGCGCAATGACATTTGCGCCTTGAAGCCATAAGCCTTGGCTTCCCTTTGCCTCCCGCACGTATACACGCTAATTATCCTGCCGGGCCCCTCTTATACAAGGGCCCGAGATCTTTCGCACGGAAAAGATACACGAAGCATACACGTGTAGATACAAGATCGTGACCGGTACTCGCGATAAATTCGAATTATACGTATCTGCAGCCGCCGAATGTAATGCGAATACGAAATGAAACCAATGCCATTCGCCATAGTGAATTTCTACCTCCGGTTCTCTCCTCATCGCCACCACGCTATCCGTTCTTCCTAGTGCCCCTATACCTAGTTCCGTAAAAGCCATGAAAATAACCGAGGAAAACTTTCTTTGTGCAGATAAAAAAAAAAAAAGATGAAAAAAAATTATTTCAGGCTAAACAGTCACGTAAAATCACATTGTTTTCAACATTTCACTTTTGTCCACTCTCATTGGTCGTTCTCTCTCTCTCTCTCTCCCCCGCCATCCCACCCCACTCACATCTCCCC